GGAGTGGGCAGAGAGGAAGGGCTGGGAGGACACTGGGATCAGGGGCCAAGGATGAGCCAAGGAGGTCACCCAAGCTGCCAGAGGAGAGGCTGAAACAGGTGTGGGCAGCTTGGACCAAGTTACACGTCTCCCAAGTCCTGGCAGGGCTGCCAGTGGACCTCTCTGTAAAGGCAAGACTAAAGGCCTTGGAGCAAGTTACTCCTAGAATCCTAAGGCTGGAACAGACTTTGAGAGAGCATCACTTCCAATTCTCTGTCTATATGGCCAAATGGCTCCTGAGCCATCCTGGACAGGTGGGAAACAAGGACCCACCAGGATCAACCTGTCCACTGACCCAGCATGACCCCCCCCTTTCTTCTATTTCTTTTGTTGTTGTTCTGACTATTCTCTTTTTTCTCTCTCCATCTACCAATTGCTGATTTTTGTTTATATTTCTACCTAGTCCATCTATTTCCTTCTGTTTGAGTGTCATCAAGATTCACCTCAAGTCCCTCCTCATCCATGAAGTCTTCTTGGATGATAGACTTGTATTTCCTCTGACTTTGTATGGCACTTTCTGTCTGGATTGCTTGATGTTGCATTCAAATATCCTGTTTCGCATATACAAATCTCACTTTCCTAGTAAGACTCAGGGCATCTGGGGGATTTGCCTTGTGACACAGAAGGGTCTGGAACCATACACTAGTGTTGATATAGCTCTTCAAGCAGGGATCACATTTTTTATGCCTTTTGTATACCCTAGAGGGCCTAGGACAGTGTTTGTTGGGGGAAGGGTGTGAGATAAGTAGCATATGCCACTTGATGGAAGGATTGGTGACTAATCAAATCATCAGGAAGAGGAAGAGAGGAAACTGGCAGCTCGGAGGGCACTGGCTAAGGAGCACTGATCCAGGAGTCAGAAGTCAGGGGGGGACATGGATTCTGCTTCTAGTTTTGCCTCTTAAATAAGTTGTGTGACCTTGGACAAGTCATGTGACCTCTGACCATCAAAGATGATGGTTAAAGTCTTCTAAAGTTCTACTCCTGTATGATCCTCCAGACCAAGGGCACTGCCCTACTACTTCTTGTGTGTGAAGGGGCTAGTCTGTGGCCCTCACCCTACCCCACATGATTAAATTGTGACAGTGACAAGAATGTGTCAGGTCTCTGTGGATTCAGAGGAGGCAGTGTAGGGAATGAAGGAGGTATACAATCAGGCCTGGGCCCAAGTCCTGGCTTTGTCCCTTCTTAGTCATCTGGGTAGGTTGACCCACCTGAGCCTCAGTTTTCCCATCAACAAAATGGGATGACAATTCTTGCCTGATAGGCTTGTGCTGGAGTGCCTGGTACAGTGCCTGGCACACAGAAAGCACTCAGTAAATGGTAGCTATGAGCTTTAATTTGAGTCTCAGAGTGTCTGTGCCTTCTTAAGGCAAGGTAGAACTGCAAGGTGGCAGGGAAAGAGTGATTCCGGATACCTGGCAGGTGAGTTTCCTTCTTGGAACTGCTGCTGACAAGAGCAGTGTGCTGGAATGCATGGCATTTTTGCAACCCTCTCAGTAGGAATGTGTGACAGAGAGGAACCTATTGGGGGTCAGCTGTGCTCACACATAGCGGCATCAAAGTCTGGCCTGGGACGAGGCTGCTTCTTCCCAAGCACTATCATACCTTTACTATCACACACTGTGGCCTCTGTTCCTCCTGAGAAGTAGTAGAAATAACAACAATAGCCACCATCTACTGAATACCTACTATGTGCCAGGGGATTTCTATTCATTATCTCACTTAATTAACACCGTAACCCTATGAGGTAAGTGTTTTTATTCCCTTTGTCAGAAGAGAAACTGAAGCTCACTGAGATTGAGTAACTTACCTGAAGTCACACAGCTAGAAAGTAGGAGAGCTGAGATGTGAACTGCAGGTTTATTTTACTCTAGGGTCCATGTAGTTAGACAGTGATGTATGCCTCACCTTTGAGGTCATATGACCATACCCATTTTATAGATGAGGACGCTGGGGCTCAGAAAAATGAAATAACTCATCAAGAATAGATAGATGGCTGGTAAATAGTAGGGCCTGACATTGACCTTGGGGTAGTCTAGTTTCAACATGTACAAGTTCTCCACTAGACCATACTGTCTGTCAAAGTAGGGTCACTGGACTCATTTTAAAGATGGGGAAGCTGAGAAGCAGAAAGAAAAAGCAAAGGCTCATGGAAAGAGACTTGGCAGATGAGGGGGAGTCCCTGAGTGTGGTGGAGCCCTGGCAGAGGTGTCCCTAAGCAGCATCAGAACCGATATATATCAGCTATGGCCCCTCCAACCCAGTCCTCTCTCGAGACGTTTGCAGGATAAATTAGAACAAAATGAATGTTAGAAGCATCCCTGAAGGAAAGTGAAGCCCAAAAGCAAACTGCAGCCTGAGAGGTGAGTATAGGAAGCCCAGCGAACCGGGGGACACTTTCCCCCTGCCAGTGAGGGTACGGCATACACTGCTGCTTTTGCAGTACTACTTGCCATCTCGTCATTCCTTCCTTGTCATCTTCCTGAGTCCAGCTGTGAGTCCCCGCAAAGTGGACAGGGCATACGGCAATGTGACCAGTACCCCAATTCACAGTGGCCCAATGATATAAGCCCTGCTTCTGTTCCTTGAAGGGCTGAGGGGTGGCCTGGAACCAGATTTGATGGTGGGGAGCAGGGCATAACTGTCTGTTCTGCCCAGATGTGGAGGAAGCTCATCTGTTCCTAGAAGATCAGAGGAAATGAACAGAGGAAAGGCTGGCAAAGTGAGAAGAAAGAGGAAACTAAAGTAAAAGACAATGAGCCTCCCAGAGACATAGCGGCTATGGTGGGGCAACCCACTCAAGCCTCCCTCCCCCAACACCTGGGCAATGGCCACACCCAGAGGACCAGGAAATCCACTGAACTGGAGAGAAGGTCTGAGATAACCTATTACTCTGCCCCTACAGAATCCTCTATGCCCACCTTGCCTATGATTTAGAGGGTGGGCTGGCGCCCTCCTCCCTAGGGACCCAGAGGAGCTCACACCAGTGTCCAAAGCAAGGCAGACAAAGCAGGGCACAGTGCAATCTCCCTTCACTGCACTGGGGGCTCCTCAGCTCTCTCCCTGTGCCCCCATGTGGATCAGGCACTGTCTGGCAACCTCCAATTCTTTCTCTTTTTTTGAAAACCACTCTCTTGTTTGGGGCAGAGAGGATGGCAAGTTTGCACTTGTCCTCCAGTCCTACACATAATTGGTGGCAGTAAGCAAAGCTGCTTCAAGGGGAGGGGTTTGCCAATGGAATGAAGGAGGGAGGGAGTCCTAGAGTGACAAGGGCTGAAAGGGACTTCTGAGATCATCTGACCCAAACTTTTTGTGGCCTCCACACCATTCCTATGATCTACGTGGTCCCATCCCAACCATCATCTTTCATCCCAGGCAGGAGCTCTCAAGTGCTCCTCCCCCAGGTTTCCTAAGGGCATTGTCTCCTTGCCCTACTGAGCTAACCCACTCTCTTTTTCCTAGGTGAGGACACTGAACCCAGTTGAGATATGACTTGCCCAAAAGTAATCTTCATCCCAGGATATAGCTGGGACAAGAAGCCCAAATCCCTGGCTCTATCTCCATCCTCCTACTTTTCCACCCAATCCCTAGGGAAGAAGGAGTTCAGTTCGTATCCCTGGGGGCTACGGAGGCCTCTGACAAAGTCCACCTGCCACCCCAGCTGATGTGGGCTGCCAGTGTGAAAGGCCTATGAACTGAGTTATTTTCAGAGAGTTTCTGGTCATTGTCTCTTCCTCCTGGGTTCTCTGAGGGCTCTGCGATGTTAGTCTGGGTCTCTTCCCTGCAGAAAACTGGCAATGAAGCATAAGTAACTCTCTGGAGCCTGGCATGGCCTCAGTCGGACCAAAGCCCCATACTGCCCTTTCCAGAGGTCTTTCCTCATTCCCCTAGGAGGGAAGGACAGAAGGCACACAGCTGGTAAATGCCTCAGGTTCAGGGACACTACTCCGTCGGCACACTGTGCCCCTATTTAAAAAAAATATCATTTATCTTTCCTCTGCTGCCCCTGCAGTTGGAGGGATGAAGGCTTAAGAATGGACCGGCCAGGACCACCCCTTGAAGCTGCAAGGGCAGGTTTGGAGAAGTGTGTTATGCATCTCTTTTGTGTTTACACACATAGGCACGTTTCTGTGGGTTAATTTTTGCCCCTGTGCTGAGCTCATGAGAGCGTTTTTCACGTGAGCCCAGTTCTACACGGGTAGGGTGGCTCAGTGGGCTACCTCCGAGGCCTTAATTGCAGAGGAGTCTGCCCTGGAGCCGGCAGTTCTAGCTAGGGGAAGGCTACTTTTTTGTTGGTCCTCAATTAAAGTGGGCTCAGCACTAGGAATGGAGATTGAGTCCAGAGGCTGGGGTGTGGTGGAATTAAGAGTTGGGAGGACATTACTCCGCCCGTTGTTGGAGCCGCTCTCAGTTTTTCGAGGTCCTATGTGGCTGTGTCCCGCATGTCAGGCTGTGTTGGCAGGCATGTCTGAGTGCCAGCGCGATCCCGTCCGCCCCAGCCTCCCCGACACCCTGCGCTCTCTTTGTCTCCTCGTGGAGGTGTGCGTGCAAACCTGCGTCGAACGGCCCTCATCGCGTGCGAGGGCGGGGGTGCACCCTAGCTCCCCTACTCTTTCCGCGGCGAGAGAGGACGAGCCGCAGCCCGGTGCTGTTTGGTCTGGAGCCGAGCGGGGCTTGCATTGATCCATTGATTGTGCGCGGTCTGCGCCTGACCTCCCTGCTCCCGGGGAAGCCGTCTCCATGGAGACTGGGCCCGCTCCCCCAGCGCGGGATTGTAAATTCCTGCAGGCAGCGGCCCGGCAGCCTGGGGAGGGGGCCGCCGCGCCCGGGCGCGCAGGGGGAGCGGCCGCCGCGCCGAGGCCCCATTTGAAAGAAAAAAGGGCACGAAAAAGGAGGTGCTGGAGGAGGAGGAGGGGGAGGAGGAAGAAAACGAAAAGGAGCGAAGAGAGGAGGAGAAAGAGGAGGAGGAGGAGAAAGACGAAGAAAAAGCGACGGAGCTTGAGAGACCGAGAAAGAGCGAGAGGAAGAAAGGGAGGCAGAAAGGGCGTGTTTCTGGCGCTGCGTTTCCCCTCCCCTTTCTCAGGTCCCTCGCTCGGGCTCTGCGCGCTCTCCGCTGTAGCTCTCTCCGGGCGAAGCTGAGAATTGGGTGGGATTATACGGAGCAGCCCCGCCGCCGCCGCTAGCAGAGCCCGGCTTGGAGAGGGCGGGGGTTCCCCTCCGTCAGCGGCGCCGGGCGCCCCCAGCCTAGTCGTGCTCTTCGCCTCGCTCTCCCCGGGGTCGGGCCAGGAGAAGCCGGCAGCATCTGGAGCCTCCCGCCGAGGGCGCCGCGGTCCGTGCCCAGCGCCCGCAGCCTCCGGCCGGGCCCGGGTGGGACGCCCCCTCCCCTCCTGCCTCCAGTGCCCGGGGGCCCGGCCCCCTTCCGCCCTCCCGGGACTGCGAAACCGGCCCCGGCCGCCGGTACCACCAGCCATGGGCTCGGGGCGCGTGCCCGGGCTCTGTCTGCTCGTCTTGCTGGTCCACGCCCGCGCCGCCCAGCACAGCAAAGCCGCGCAAGGTAAGGAGGGAGGGGCGCGGGGCCGCGGGGCTGCCGGGGCTGCGGGGCCCGAGGGCGGGGGCGCGATTTCCGAGGGGTTAGGGCAGGTGCTGGGAAGCGTGCTGCTGTCAGGACCGGGCACCCGCACTTCTGGCTGGGGACCGGACCTGTGGGCGCTGCGCCCCGGGCCAAGGGCTAGAGGAACTAGGGGCGGCACGGATGAGTGAGAAGTTTGGGGGGGGGGGCGCCCTGGCCAGAAGTGACCACGCTCCTCAGGATCCTGCCCGAGACTTTACTGCCACCCCAGCATCTTCGAAAGACTTCTTGCCCTCCAAAAGTGTGGGAGAGAATCTTCTCTCAAACATTGCCAGAAACTTAAGTTCTGGCCTGGAGAGACTGAGAGAATGAAAACTTTTCAGGCGTGCTATGTATGTCTTCCCCTCACCCCCAACCCTCCCGCAAAGTTGGACAGAAATTTGGAAGTTGTCTTATCAGTAGAAAAATAGGATCTATGTATAAACCAACTCGGCTCTCACTGGATGGTAGGGGGCTGAAGAAGAGAAGAAAACTTCTGCAACTTTGGCTCCCAGCAAGAATGTTGCGTTTCTGCCTCTTTGGAGGGAAATCTCTTTCCTCTTGCATGGCTTTCATTTCTTATCATAATATTTATTTATTAAGGCCTCGGGTTTCCAATTCCATTTAAATCCAGGTCAGAATTGCATTAAAATAACAAAGTAAAATTCCAGGCCGGAGAACTCTGACAGATTCCTCTAGGAATTAAAGAGAGAGAGACAGGGAGGCCCTCCTGCCCCCATCCCTGACCCCAGGCCTTATTGCCTGGCCAGTCCCAAGGCTGTGCTGGCAGAAACCAGGCTGGTGGGCTACAGTGCTCTTGGGGACAGCCTCCCCTCCCCCTTGACCTCTTGCTACACCCTTCCCCCATCGTGTCCTCACCCAGGAAGAGATTTATATGGAGAAAAAGAAAACTCCTCCTGGCAAGGCTTTGCCCAGGAGGATATGATTCTGCCTATTGTCCCTTTGCTCCTGAAGCTAAGCTGGGATGTGGAGGTGGCTGGACTAGAAGGGAAAGTTGAACTTGGGAGTTGGGGAAGCCTGAGTCTCTGACAGTCAGGTCGCTGTATCCCAGAGCCTGAGCACTTGGCTGTTAAGCTGCTCTGTATACTGGATGGGCTCCCACTCTGTTAAAAGAAAGGTGCTATATCAATGCCATCTTCTTCTCCCAAAACACTGCCTCTTCAACTACCCGCTTCTTCCTCCAACCTGTCCTTTAACACAATCTAAACACTAGAGACCCTCAGCTGTCAAATACTAGACCCCAGCCCTCCCCCTTCCAACCCCAAACTGTCTCTTCTCCAGTCCTAGTTCCAGACAGCCCACTCCCACCCCCAGCCTGGGAGCAGCCCCTCTCCCACTGTGGATTTGCTTGTGTTTTCATAAACAAAGCTAGCTTTTGTAGTGCGTGCTGACTTACTCATAACATGGAATTAGCTAGGGAGTTTAGTCTGAAGGAAGGAACAGATTTCATGCAGTAATCTAGAGACAAGATAAGGGCCTCTTTCAAGTTGGAGCCAGTGTCTGTAGTGGCCTAGTGAGACTAGGGGGAGCAAGTAGTATATTCAAGGGGGTTCCCGGGACAGATGGAGACACCTTGAAGGGACAGGTGCCATCAAGCCAAGGCTTTCAAGCCTGGGAGATCAGCCCATGGTTCAGGGACAGAAGGACTCAGAATCCCTCCAGGGTACTCCAGGGCTCCTTCTTTCATCAGCCACCCTGCTGGGTGCTGTGGGGGGGAGGGGGATGCAGCCAGAGTGGAGGCCCCTGCCCTCAAGGAACTTACAGACTAACAGTTTTGTTCACTGGCTATCTCATATTCGGGCCACACTTGCTCTGATTGGGCTGCAGTTAGCTTTGCATCTTCCTTGCTTCTGATCCCTGAGTCTTGCCAGGCATAGGATTGAAGCCTGTCAGTTCAGCTATCTTTGACCTGCTATTCAGGAAACTTATCAACCTGGTCTGCTGGAGATCACCTAACAACAAGTTTGCTGGGTTAGAGGGATGTCTCTGGACCTAAATCTGCAGGCCAATCAGGAAGGACAAGTCCTGACCAGGCAGGGCAGCCGTCCCCATAGACAGAATGCTGTGGACATCCCTTGCTCCCAAACATCTCCCTAGTTGTCACCAGTGCCAGAAAGTGCGCCTCTAATGCCACATGCTTCTAAAGGAAGCACTAGCAGGTCTTTAAAATACAAATACTCTTGGCAAGTATCTTGCGCAGAGTTACTATACCTTTGGGGATATCTGAGTCTCTGTCCCTTTTCTCCAGAGATTCCCCAGGGATGAACCAAAGTGGTATGGAATGGGGAGGAGGGGAGGGACAAGGAAGGGAGCCTATAGTGTGCAGGTGAGTGTGTGCATGTGTGTGCAAGTGTGCGTGGTGGTTCACCACGGTCAACCACAGATGACATAGCTGGGTGTCTGTGTCTATTGTTACTTAGTTGTTAAGCATGAATACAGATGTTTTAGTGTCTTTGAGAAGTGCATGTGGATGAGTGGGTGGGTAAGGTTGTGTGACTGGGAGTGAGCATGAGGGTACATGGTTTTGAGTGTTTTTCAAGTGCCTGTGTATTTTAAAGTAGACAGACTGGATAACCGAGATAATTGTTAACTTAAAAGCATTAATTTGCTTTGCTCTTCTGGGGGGGGGGGGGGGGGGGTCGGTGCAGCAGTGGTTAAAAAGACCTAATCCTTGTGTAGGGCTCAGGTTACAGCTGAATGGAAAGGTCTCCTGGCCTCCTGGGGAAAATTTGTCCCCAGGGCAAGCTCAGGGAGAGCCAGCCTGGCCGTTTAGTTTACCTGGTTGTTTTCTCTCCTCATTAGGGATAGAATTTTGATAAAGTCATGTATTTAGAGTTTCCAAGTACCACCATCCCTGGAACTGAGCGCGTTCATCTAGCGGCAAACAGTGTCCCTCTGTCTCGGTGCGTCTCTCCGGGTCTCTGTCTGGGTGTATGTGTGTCTCTCTCTTTCTTTTCCCCACCCCTCTCTTCCTCTTTAATGTGGCTGTTTCCTCTCCTCCCCGCTTCCCTGGGCTCCTGTGGCCAGCTCTTACAGTGAGGGGACTGTTCCTCCTAGCCCCTCCCTCCAAAATATGAAATGAAAACCATAACCGTGTCAGCGGGTGAGGGTGGCCCCGTGGGCAGCTGGCTATTGCCCATGCCCCATCCAGGCCACACTGGGGAGAGACAGAGAGAGAGTCAGTCCCCACTCTTTGGAGCCTGATCTTCAATCAATTCCCTCTAAGCACCCCCCCCTCATTTTTCCAGAAGCGTAGAGAAGGGGGGTGGACTGCTTAGAAATTCCTCAGGAATCCCTTTGACCTCTCTTCTCTCAGTGACATGTCCCCCCAGGGGGTGGGGAAAGCCTGGGACTGGGGCAGAACTTTTCCACTTCTTACCCCTCATCTCCTTGAGTCTCTGCAGGGTGGAATGAGAGAGAGGGGACTAGAAGACACGGAGGCCAGAATTACTACAGGCAGAGAAAGAAGAAAGTTATCAGCAACCTCTAAATGAGATTGTTTTCTGAAACCTGCAGGAATCTGAGAGCATGAGAACCGGTTTGAGATGTGAGCGGCTGGGACCTGTTGTAAAAGGAGCCGGCCCTGGGTGTGAGTTTGAGAATACGAGGTGTGCATTCACTGGGGCATGTGAGCGTGCGTGTGCATGACTCAGGGTGTGTGTGTGTGTGCAGTGCTCCGGTGAGAGGAAAAAGGAAGCGGGGCAATGTGCGTTTTGTTTTCATTGGAGAAGTAAAGAAGTGGAATGGCTTGGTCCAGTGCCTTGAACTGAGGGTGGGGGAAGGGAATGGATGGCTTCAGACCCTCTTGAGAAGATGGAGGTGGAGGAGCTGGCTGCCTGAACTCACCCCAGTCCTTGCCCCAGCTCTGGTCCCCGAGAGTCAGGGTGTGGGCCTCCTTTGACGTCCTGTACCCCTAGCACATGACCACTTATAAGAAAGAGTGCCTGTCAGGGCTGGAAACTACAGAGCTGCTCTGAGGCTGGCAGTGCCCACAAGAGGCCCAGACCTGGGGACAGCTTCTTCAGGCTGAGTTATAAGACAGGAGTCTGGAAACAGAGGGACTGCTGGTCCTTGGGGGAAAAGTGATACAACCACCAACCCAAAGATGTTTGAGGGGTAGAGGAGCTAGTCGCCTGGGCTAAGAGGGGACATGGACCCTCCCCACTTCCTCACTGGCCCCTCTGTCACAAGACTGGCTGCTCTCCTCCTCCCATGCCCACATACTGCCAGCCCCAAATGGCATGGGATGGGGAGTATGGTGCCAGTGGTTTTAGGTAAATGCAAGCCTAAGGATTGAGGCCTCTGAGGAAATAACTGAAATTCTCCTCCTCACTTGTAAAATGGACTAGAGTATCAATAGGGTCCCTTTCAGCTCTCAGATTCTGCACATCTCATCGAAATCCTTCCTGCTGAAGGCAAAAGACACTATAGCAAGCCTCAGTCCTGCAGCGGGGCCTGCCCAGGCTTCTCACCTGAATCTCAGGCCCTCTCCTCCCTCGGCCCTGCTCCACTGCCCCCTGCCCAAGTCTGTGTCACTTGGCTACTCTTCCTTTCTTCCTCTACCCCAGTATCCTGGGGCCTCAAGTACCTGATAGTTCTTACTGTGTCCTTAAGTGGGGTATTTTCCTCCTGGCAACAGCCCCTGCAGAACAAGTATGTGTTTCTGTGTGTGTGAATGTGTGTGTATCCAACAATGTTGGGAAGTGGAGCTGAAACATTTGTGTTCTGGGAACTGAATACTGTCTGGGCGAGGCCCCAGGGCCCCAGTCCTTGCTCCCACACCATATATTCTCAACTCCAAGACTAGCCCTCTGTATTCTGTTTCCCTTCCGTGGGGACATCTCCTCTTTTCAGACCAAGGCACTCTTTTGTAGTTGCCATTGGATGCTGTGATTTGGCCCCACAGGCAGGATGGTGACGCCTAA